TGCGTGGAGCCCCAGATTGAGGGAGATTATCAGTGGTCTTGTATGTCTTCCATTTTTTAATAATTGCTCCCACAGTTGATTTCTTCACACCAAGCTGCTTTCCTATTGCAGATTCAGTCTTCCCAGCCTGGTGCAGGTCTACAATTTTGTTTCTGGTGTCCTTTGACAGCTCTTTGGTCTTGGCCATGGTGGAGTTTGGAGTGTGACTGTTTGAGGTTGTGGACAGGTGTCTTTTATACTGATAACGAGTTCAAACAGATGCCATTAATACAGGTAACGAGTGGAGGACAGAGGAGCCTCTTAAAGAAGAAGTTACAGGTCTGTGAGAGACAGAAATCTTGTTTGTTTGTAGGTGACCAAATACTTATTTTACTGAGGAATTTACCAATTAATTCTTTAAAAATCCTACAATGTGATTTTCTGGATTTTTTTTTCTCATTTTGTCTCTCATAGTTGAGGTATGCCTATGATGAAAATTACAGGCCTCTCTCATCTTTTTAAGTGGGAGAACTTGCACAATTGGTGGCTGACTAAATACTTTTTTGCCCCACTGTATATAGACCGACATAAAACGTATATAAACTACCTTACCTCAGCATTTGAAAGTCTGTTAGCATGCCTGCTCTTAAGCATCACGGTCCGAGAGATGCAGCTCACCAACTTCTTTGCCTCACCTGTGCCAATGTACTTCTGCTAAAGGATTGCACAATTACACAACTCAAAATAGATTAAATATCCATTTCTTAAAAAGGAACCGTTTATTGAATCATTAGACAGAACACGTATTGAGATGTCTGCATGTTTTTTGTTGAATCATATTTGATTGATCAGGGTTGTTGTTCTCGTTGTGTTGTACCTCAGGTATGTTCAGGTCATGCAGCAGGGATCCAGGCTGTCTGAGAGTCTGTGGTGTGTGTGAATGCTGGGATTCATGCAAGTGTACAGCTGCACGGCGAATGCTCTCTGCCGGGTCACCCATCCGTAGGTCCTCATCCGTTAAAGTAAATGAGGGAAGTCCCACAGTGGTCTACAGAAGTAGACGAAGAGAGTCGTTTTTAACAGTTACATATGTATTGGAAGTTACCTACATTAGAACATTATAATTGTAAGGAGCCCAATTGATGTTTCCAGTTATTAACATCATAAATTGAACAAAGCTATATTTAAAAAATTTTAAAAAAATTAAAAAGTGCACCCTAAGTTTGAAAGAAACGTGAACCGTGTTATATAGATCGTTCAAGGAAAAAAGTAAAAAAAAAAGAATTCACATTTTTCATAAAACTACGTTTAAAGCAATTTTTTCCCTTTTCACATTTTCTCTCAAAAATTCAGTGTACCCTCAGACCCAAGAAATTTTTTATTTTATTTTTTTTAAACTATAGAATTGTTGAATAAAATCGTTTTTGTTTTCTTTGCGCACAAAAAGTATTCTTGTAGCTTTATAAAGTTACGGTTGAACCCCTGATGCCACATGGACTATTTTAACGATTTCCTTACTACGTTTCTGTGCTTTGATCGTGGTGGTACCCTTGCCGTCTATGGGAGGATCAGAAAGCTCTCGGTTTTCATTAAAAATATCTTAATGAGGTCATATTATGCTGCTAAAAAGAACAGTATTTGGTGTAATGAAATGTTTATGCGATTTAAGGTTCAAAAAACACATTTTCCACATACTGTACATTATTGTTTCTCCTGAAACGCATCGATTTTTACAAAACTCATCGGTCTGAAAAAGCGAGGTGTGCTGTGATTGACCAGCTATCCAGTGCATTGTGATTGGCCGAATACCTCAAGCGTGTGACGGAAATGTTACGCCCCTCACCATACTGTGATGATGCCCCGTCCGGCCGGAGCGATGATTCAAAAACATTAAAACCCATTATAAACGAGGCATTCGTTGCATCCAGTGGGGGACATAATTATGGATTATAATGACTTATACTGTCTTTTTACATGTTGCATCGTGCCGCGTAAACATAAAACCATGTCTGCATTTGTGATCGAAGAAATGACAAACAACAAGCCCTACTCTACACTGCCCAAAAACTCGCTTTAAATATATAAAATATAAAAACTCTTTAAATATAAAAAGACGTACTTACAATCTGTGAGTCAGAACAGCCGGCATTGTAGTCTACTCTACCAGGATCAGGAAACAGTCCTCCATAAAATGTGCTGCACACATCTGAATATTTGGGTTGAAGTGTTCTGGAACAGTGTTGTAAATACAACTTAACCACTGATTTCTAGTCGTGTCCATTTTTGGAAGACCAAACAAAGTAGTTTCGCTTTCACAATGAAACAGCGTCACACACGGTGGCCTACAGTGAGCAACGGCCGGCGGGCTGAGTGAGCAGAGGCAGCGGATTCGACGAAGGAGCGTCCGGCGGCAACCACATGTGACGACCCCGGGCTGGATATCGTCCTCTTTTGGAAGGCCAAACAAAGTAGTTTAGCTTTCACAACAAATCACACAGTGCATTCACGACATGGTGGCGGCAACAATACTACAGCGAGAATAAAAGTTACGCCTTCTTT